AGGTTTTCTCCCACACTTAGCAGTGGTTTCCTCCTCCTAGTATTCCACAGAGGAATTTAAGCCCAGCTCTGAGCTGGGTCAGTCTTAGTCCTGAGCCAGGACTTTCCCATCCCTCTAAAAGGTGTGGAAATGCCCAAATTTCCCCTTCATTTTTGGGAAGCTGCTGCTTTAAAAATATTAATTAACCAGGTGATAATTGAAGGAACGTTTGTGCTCTCAACAAATCCCATTGTGGAGCTCTGGGTCCTCCAAGGAATCCTGTGGAATTACTCCATGGGGAAGAAATCCTCATTTTCACTAAGAGTTCCTTCTGACAATACAAGTTTAATTGGGAGATAACAATTTCCTGGGAAACTTTTGGAAGCTCAGGAAGCTCAAAGGGTGTTTTCCTCACTCCCAATCCCGTTTTTTCCCCCCAATTCTCACCTGGTCCTAGCTTGGAAATTGCATATAAAAGGTCGTAGTTGATGACTGGAGTTGCATCTTCCACTTGTTTCCAATCCACGGGGGGAGAGGCAGGAGGGGAAATCAGGAACTGCTTGTCTGGATTTGGAGGGGCCAAGTGGGAGCTTCCAATGTGCAAAGTCTGGGAATAAAAAAAAAAAAGGCAGGAAAGCCCAAAGCTGGGTCATTATTATCCAGGAATTTGTCACTCAGGAGGGATTTGAAGGCTGGGAGAGGTGGTGTTGTTCCCTGCCAGGGACTCGGGGTGGCAGCACGAGCCAGGATTCCACAGCCAAGCCCCCACATCCAATTCCCAGCAAACTTCCAAGGAAGTTCCCTTTAAATCCCCTGGTTTCCCTTGAAATTAATTTTTTTTTGATTTGAATATATTTTATTTCTATTTCTGCCCATAAAATCCCGGAGTGGGAGGAAGCTGGACCTGGCCTTTAATGACAAATGGGGTGGGAAGGCAACACCACAGGGGAGAGTGCTGGGAATTCCCAGAGGGATAGAAATGAACTGGGACATCCCAAATGGACACACAGGGATTCCTTTTCCCACACAGAAATTCATCTTCCCATACAAGGATTCCTTTTCCCACACAGCAATTCCTTTTTCCATACAGGGACTTGTTTTCCCACACAGGGATTCATCTTCCCACACAAGGATTCCTTTTCCTCATACAGGGACTCATTTTCCCATACAGGAATTCCTTTTCCCACACAAGGATTCATCTTCCCATACAAGGAATTCCTTTTTCCACATAGGGATTCCTTTTCCCACACAGGGATTCATTTTTCCCACACAGGAATTCCTTTCTCCATACAAGGATTCATTTTCCCTCATAGGGATTCATCTTCCCACACAGGGATTCCTTTTTCCACACAGGAATTCCTTTTCCCCACACAAGGATTCATTTTTCCCAGACAGGAATTCCTCTTCCTGTATAGGAATTCCTTTTCCCACATAGGGATTCATTTTCCCTCACAGAGATTCATTTTCCCACACAGGAATTCCTTTTCCCATTCCAGGATTCCTTTTCCCACACAGGAATTCCTTTTCCCACACAAGGATTCATTTCCCATTCCAGGATTCCTTTTCCCACACAGGGATTCATTTCCCATCCAACTTTCCGAGGGAAACCCGGAGCAGCTCCCAAACCTCACCCAGATTCCCAGAGTTCCTCTGGCAGCTCCAGAGCTGCTCCCATGGAGAT